GAAATTGTTGGAGTTCAGAATTGAAAAATGCCCACGGATATTCAGTTCATCCACCTGAGAGAAGCAGAAGAAGGCTGCATTCTGATGAAAGTTCCCGTGTCAGTAGGTTTCCCATGTGAAGAAAACAGTAAAGCTGGATACACAGTGAGTGAGTGTGTATGCAGTGAATGATCTGACGAGTTTGGCTCAGCTCTGGTGTTCCCACAAGTAACATATCTGCTGAGAAGCTGGTGTGAAGAATCTGCCATGTTTTGCATAAAGTTTGCCTTAAAAAAATGTTTTTTTTTACAGTACTCTGTAGTCATCTTAGTACTAGGACTGGTAACGTGATGACAAAAATTGAATGTACAACCTATAGTCAGACGTCTGAAGTCATCTTAAAATGCAGTTTCAAATGCAGTACCACTTTTGGCCTGCAGCAGTTGAACTTCTCTTCTTTTGTCAACTTCCATCAGGTTACACTCAGTGAAGAGCTTTCTTAAATTCTCCAAAATTTACACCAAAGCAACGTGACCGTGGTCGTTATTATCATGCACAACATCATAAGAGCAAAGTCAACGTGAATCTGTGGGTGTCGGGCTTGTTTTTTTAGACATGATGATGATGATGATGATGATGATGATGATGATGATGATGATGATGATGATGTAAGTCTCTCAAAGCTCGAGGGCCAGCAGGGAAGTTAGAGCAGTGGCTTCAGTTCTCCCTGGAGATGAAACTTTATGAGGTGGCAGAGAGAGCTGGACCAGTCAAATGCATTTTTATAACTGGTGCCTCTATGCTGCATTTAATGAGCACTAGGACACACTGAACAATGATTTTTTAGATTTTATTTAGATGTTATAGATAATAATGTTCAACTTGGGATAGAGTTTCTTGCTCAAAAGTAAGAATAATATTTCTTTAAAAAAAAATCCTAAAAATATTTTTTGCTACAAAAGCCCACTATTAATCTCAATCTTTGCTGAAATATTAGGACGTGTCTTTTCTATTAGGTTCTAGATGAAAAGCACTAAAAATGTTCATCTTTCTCTTTCTCTGTTAATCAGTAAAAAACATCCTTTTCTATTTCTTGACATTAATGTTTTTTAAAGCAGACATTCTGTACTATTATATGATGCACGGCCGTACCCAGAACACATTCTCCCGACAGGTGATAGTGAAAGAAAAACACAAACACATAATTCTGCCCAGGACTACAGATCCAGAGATGTGAGCTACCATTTTACCAGGTCTTTAATAGCAGGCGTCAAAGGGCATCGGCTAATGCAGTATAATGTGCTTTTAGCGCATCATTCTAAATGTGTCATTTACTTCCCAGGCCGTTGTTGACTCAGCTCTGTGCTATCATCTACTTTTTTTTTTTTTTAATCAGAGCAGGTGAAAAAGCTGGAAAAAGCTCTTTCTGTTCATATGTTATTATCATCATCAGTCTTTATTTTCATTATTAATAACACAAAAAGGTACTTCACATTTCACCTCACATATTGTTTAAATGCCTGTGAACAGAATCTATGTTTATGAATGTTTTTAAGGTGGTTATAAATGCTCGGTACAATTCAACAGTCTAACAGTAACATATGTTTGTTTTTAGTGTTTTTAGTTGTTTTTCCCCTCAAAGTTACAGACTTGGCTGATTATCTCTGTAGCTCAGTGCCAAAGTGACTTTTTTAAAATTTTCTTGCTTTTTGTTAACCGTGTGTGTGTTGTCCAATTTCTCTGTTCCATTTTGCACATTTAAAAAGAACCCAACATTTTAGTCATCTCTTAATGAAATATAAAAATGAACTGAATGAGACGTGAGTTTTGACCCTGTTAAAGTGCCCGACTGTTATATTCACAGTATTGTTCTATAACCACTGCAGTTTCCTTGGACAATTAATTTTTTACATCTTCAGAGCCATTCTCAAACTCTAACCATCAGGCCTGATGAACTGCCTCTATGTGCTGTGTGTGTTGAAGCTTCAAATAAATTGGTTAGAAGAAATTTGGTTTGGAAAAATCAGATCTGCATATGTGATTTGGCAAAGACTTTCATGCCAGATGTTCTTCCTGTGATAACTCTTTCCTTTGATCCCAGCATGGGAATAGCAGGAGGTCAGCACATATTTTTTACTTTCCCTTTCAATGTAGCATATGGGTTAGTAAAACACTAGCTGTCTTACCCAGGGACACATTGGAAATTGAACCCGCAACCCCACCTTTAGAAAGAAAACAGCCCACACTCTCTGGCTCTAAATTCCTAACTTTAGTTTAATCATACTCACCAGTACATGCTGTAAAATATAAGTTGATATAAGTTGATACAGCCCAGTGCCCTGAACTCTCACTCAAGTCCTAACTGTGCAGTAATCTATTATGGCAGATTTCTTAATATGCTGCTTCATACAGTACCATGACATATCAAGCTGCGAGCTGTTGATGAGAAGA